ATCTTCATCTTCATCTTCATCTTCATCTTCATCTTCATCTTCATCTTTATCTTTATCTCCATTTTCATTTTCATCTTCATCTTCATCTTCATTTTCATCTTCATCTCCGTCTTCATCTTCATCTTCATCTTCATTTTATTCAAAACCGTTTCATTTGATACCCATATTGGGATATTTTATTTATTTTAATAAATAATTTAAATTACCCATATACGGATCAAGCCCTTTCATTTGAGACCTCATTTTTCAAAATCGAACGAACGATACAGATTTTATGACTTGGTGTTAAATATTTAACGCAACCCTCTGCGGCAGAGAAATTTTGAATTAGATTTTCCAACATGTGGCAACTCCTTTCAGGGAACTGAAGCTATGTTGCACACCCGAAGGACATGGCCTTTCACGTGACACCTCATTTTTGAAAATCGAACGAACGATACAGATGTTATAACTTGGTGTTAAATGGTTAACGCAACCATCTCCGAACTCGACTAAGAAGTTTCACTTTAAAAACTTATACGTTGAGGAGCAATATATATCTACACAATCTGGTCTTAACTTTATTAGTTTAATATAAAAACAATTATTATTTAAAAGTGCATTTTCAATACCCAGAACAGAAAAGAACAGAAAATATTATTAGTGTTTTTTTTTTTGATTCAACAGAACGTTTTCTCATTTCCTCCCGATTTTATTCTCGTTTCCTCTTTCACTTTTTTGTCCTTTCTCTTTCTTTCCGTCTTCTGCATCAAAACTTCAACAAAAACGCCCTCTCAAAAATGAGAGCCGCGCTATTGTGGGATGCTCCATACAAATTGTACGGGCATGAGGATTTTTGACAGTTGTTTGGCGCTTGACGCGCCAATTTAGGGACCACAGTTAGGCGGTAACAGCGCCAATCAATAAGAAGAAGAATAATAATTTAAATGATATTGCTTATGACTTTATATTGCCTTATACTACTATTCATCTGATTAGGGTCAAAAGTTCTACACAAGTATAGCAATCAGCTGTCATTGTGCGGACAACTTAAAGTTGTTGTCGTGTTTACGCATCGCGTTATTATTTATGGGAGTTAACGAAGGGTTCTAAAAGCTTAATACTGACACGCATTACGAATATATGTATGTATACATTTTATGCATACACGAACATACCATACATATATGCTAGTAGAGAATTTCCATCAGCCGCGAAAAATTTATTTATACGCTTCGTGGGTGTGAGATGAAAAAAATAGCTGCTGCGCAAGGAAAGTCGACGGTGGTTGCTCATGGTAGAAATTTCTATAGTATTATAAAATGTAAATTTTGTGATTGTGTTGATGCCCCAACATTAGCATAAGTAGTGTTTTATTATTGTGTAATGGTATGATACGTTTTTTTTTGCATCCATAATGAATGCCTAAGCCTACACAATATGTACACAATAATAACGAAAAAATATGAAACAGGTGCATAGCAGCATGCCTATTCAATACATACTATGTACATGTAGGTATGAATGTACAGCCATACATATGTATGTATGTATGCATAGAACGAAAACGTGTGCTTTAAATTTTAAGATACCAAAAAATTCTACAAAAAATATCAGCAAAAATTTCATAAGGGGAAATGGAAAACGAACAACGTACAAAATCCAAGCAGGAAACTAGAACTAGTTTCGTTAACGGTAACAAAAGTTGTGCCAGATAGCAAAGACAAGATATTTCAATTAGAAAATGTTAGCAAATACGAAGGATATGAAAATATTATATATGAAAAATAAGGCAAAATAACTGCAAATACTTTTTGTTGCGAGTTAAATAAAGGGACGGATGATAAGGAGGAAATTAAAATAGAATGCTGATTGAAATGACAAGCTAACGGCAAATGGGAATTTGAGAACAACGGTGCCACGTGTATTGGACACTCATACCCAGCCAGCAAGAAAACGTACATTTTACGAACATTATGTTTAACGAGGGACTCTCGATCGGCGAAAAGTTAGAGAGAGGCTCGTAAACGATAAAACAAAAAAAAAAAGGAATTTGTCAGCACAAGAAAAAATTTTCATTTTGTTGAATATTTTTTTTAAAACCGCAATATTTTATTATAAATATATAATATTCGCATACGAATGCTTTTTCGATCCGTTTACGACTGTTCGTAGGCGCTGACAATTTCAAGTGAAGAAGTAATCGAAAACGAATCGCAAACCACAGAAACGAAAGTGGAAACGAGCTTGGCGATGGGAATCGTTTACCCTTTCGCTTCAAGAAGGCATTATTTTAACATGGGCATGTCATGTCGTAGGCCGTAAGCCCTTACCCAGAGCATTACCTTCGAACGGAGGGAAAACGCATGGATAAACAGCATGCAGAGAAGCGAACAAAGAATGCTTTACAGAGAAACTAATGTAGAATGCCAGATAAGTACATACTTATTTATACAGAAAATACAGATTGTCTTAAAAGATTAAAATTAATTAAAATTTGTATAAACTAGTTTTTATACATACAGACATATGTGTATGCGTTTAGGTATTTAGATCTTACTTAAAAATCGATATGTACATAAATGCATATTTAATTAAGCTTCCAATTGTACTTCCTCACTCTTGTACTTCACTTCATTGACTGACTTCCACTTCGCTGCAAATTGAACAAAGAAAAACATAATTTTTAGGCGAGACAAATTTCCACATAACGGCCCGTCTCCACAGGCAAAAGTTTTTGCCTACCAACTGCCATTTTTATTGCCTGATAAAAATTTTATCAGCGGCAATATTTGTGCGTGGGCATTTTTTATCTTGATAAAAGCATTTATAAGATGGCAATTTTTGCCGGATTTCATCAATTAAAAAGTTTAAAAAATATGCTATTTCACACCCAAGCAAATAATAACACATATTTTAATAGAAAACAGTTCAATTTTTGCTTTTATATTGAAATATCGATAATGTTGTATCCACGAAGCTAGCGCGCAAATGAAAATGTAGCTGTCAAAGTACCAAATTGCTGGCAATATTTATCAAGATAAAAGCTCTGATAATTATTGCTTGCCAAGAGCAATATGCGGTCTCCATGGGCAAAATTTTGCCTGATAACATTATCAAGATAAAAACTTTTGCCTGTGGAGACAGCAAGTAAAGTAACGGTAGAAAAAGAATTTTTGGATATTCATTATATTTTTATTTTTCAGCTTACTACGAAGCAGCATTCTACTTTGCATTCCCCGAAACAAATAAAATATTGTAGGACATTCCCCGAAATGAAGCAAAGAAGCGAATTATAAAAAAAGTATATTATAGGACATTCTACTTTGCATTACCAGCAATGCCTAAAAGAAGCGAAAAAATTCGAAGGCATTATAAAGCTATGCCTTCTAGAACACGTTACCACTAAAAGCGATTACCGATTTTTTGCTGGGGGGCATAAACGACTTTTTAGCCGGTTTTTCTTCGAGAAAAAATCCAGTTACGAGCTCGTTTACGATGATTTTGCTGGCAGGGTACACATGAAATGCACATACATACATACAAACAAGCAGACGACGTAGCGCCTGCTATATACATACATACATATGATACATAAATATAAAAACGATGAATAATTGATTGCACTTTAGCTACGAAGGTGTAATTCAGTTTGATTTATACATATGTACATTTGTATGTTTGCAATTGTGGAGGCTGTCTGCCAACTTTCTGTCATTGATGCCACTTCCATTTCTCTCGAATAAGATTGTTTCTTAGTATTTGTTTGTATTTTATTTTGTTGTTTTTGTTTTCACCTTTCTCGACGCCCTTTGATATGATGGATGTGCTTCAGATGCTAAATTTTCGCTATTGCCTTTGACCAAATAAAACAAATGTACATATTTTAGCAAATGATGTATGAAGTCTTACGCACGTACAAATAAAAAAAGGAAGTGTTACGACTTTTTCTTCCTTTTTCCAACACAGCAAAACGAGATGATATATTGCTAAAAAAAAAAAATAATAAGTAAAACAATATATGTAAGCACTTGTGTAAGGTTTTACCTATACCTACTTTGTTTTTTATGTCTACGAATATCACAGATTTTGATTAATGTGCTCGGCAAGTGATGTTAATAAAGGGTAATTAGGTAATGATTACTGCGCGCCAGTTGTTTTTATGACATAAATAGTAGAGTTAGACGAACCTACGTGTTTTTCGTTTGTTATATGACACAAGCCAGCGAAATTGAACTTTTTTCCTCCTTCCAATAATTTTGTTATTTTTTGTTTTGTAATTCTAGGTATAATAAATTAAATACTGCTTTGTTTTGTTTCTGGCAGGTAGAGATTTTTTATTGCGGTCATGCATATTTTAAAAGTTTTAACAAATTTCATCAAAAACTAAAAATTCTTTAGCTTAAAATTAAATTTGTACTTAAAAACCAGCAGTATTAGTTAAGAATAAGCCTAAAGAATAAATACGAAAGACTTATGGAAATTTGAAGTTAACGCTAGTCGGAAAAATGTAGACGTTTTTCGTCGTTAAGTACCTAATACCTGGCCAATACCCTGCATATTTTGGATGACAAGGGGCATGCAGTGGGGTCTGGATGTTGATTACGGCAGCAATATTTACTTATGTACTTTTCTGATTTTTCTGAACTATTTAGTAGATTGGAACATATACATATCAAATGGGCCTCAAATTTTTTGGGCTATTAATTCCTCATTTCTAGACTCGTTGAACTGCTGATTATGAATAAATATAAAGAAACATAAACATAATAAGAAAATACCAATCATTACGTAGGGGGGAGGTGGGGGATAAGAACTTTGCTTACTTTTGCTGACAATGGGGGAGGCGGTTTAAAATTTATTAAACTCTGCGGCCGTAACAATTGACTGGCCCTTATCAATTGTTAGTGTTTTCTTTGTAAGCGAAAAATGACACCGAATATGGCACAACGCCGAAACTGATTTATCTTCAAACAAAAGTGACAAGGGATGACGGAAATTAGTTCCAAAAGAAGTACAATTTTCTCATTCAGCGTTATCGCCGATTCAATGTGAATAAGTTGCTCCCATAATTAAACTGGCAAAACCAAAAAAAAGGGAAAATTTGTTTGTGTTTTGCTTTGTAATTTTTGCGAATTCCCCATAAAGCCGATTATGTTTGATCAAAGGCGTGGATACATGGCGTATGAGTAACAAAATTTCCAGCTCATATTTAATACGATTAATTTGAATGAGTTACTATTCGATTCGTTACCAAATAGTTGGCCTATGAAAAGGGGATGTGTGCTAACGGTATTTTGTGATTTAGCACCAATTTTAGGCATAAGTTTAAGATGGATTTACTGCTCTTTGTGTCATATGACCACGTGTTTGGGAAAATTAACTCTTTCACTTGTTTACTGATTTCTTACTTTTGCCAGATTTCCATTAGCAATGTCAATAAAATGTTTTCATGTAATGATTTTTTGCTGAGTGACGAGAAAAGATTCGGAAAAATTCGACTGGCTGAGCTATGTATCTTGCATTAGTTAGCGTTGTGTCGTGCGTGAACTTTTGGTTTCCATTTAAATGTTTTTTATTTTTGCTTTTATTATTTATAATTGAAATATTTTCTACGTTTTAAGCGAACAGACCACAATTTCAGTATAGCACAAGTTTATTTGTTGGTAATTATTATTTTATGTTACTTATTTATTTTGGATTTGTAGATAATAGCTTAGAGTAAGTTGCTTTGAACTGAGTTCTGCTATTTACGAGTATCTTCCGCTATAATAGTTCGCTGCGCTTTCAATTACTGCTGCCTTCTTAATCGGCCGGAATTATAATTTTTTTATTTTGTAATTGAGTTGGTCTTTGTTGCTTTTTTTTTAATTAAAAATTTCGATTTCTTTGTTTTTAAATTCGAAATCGCAAAAATTCTGTAAAAAGTTATATAAAAAAACTAATTTAATTTTCGTTTTTGCATTTCTTACAGAACACGCATGCTTACAAAATTTATTTGTATGAAAATATAAAAAAAAAGAAAAACAAAAAAGTTAATTAATAAACTTTTAAAACTAAAAAAAAAAAAAATATCTAATGCGAACATGTGATGCTAATAACCTTTAATGCAAAACTCTAAACAAGACAACTAAATAAAAATATTTTAAACAAAAAAAAAGTATTGACAAAATGTAGCGCACAATCCGATATCAATTACTAAAATAATTGCAAAAAACAACAAACACATACGATAAGAACAACAAGTTGTAGGAAAACATGTACTTTGTACGGTGATAAAAACAAAAATCTATACTCGTAAAATTAAACAAATAACACACATTTCCAAAGATATAAAATGAAACATAAAGAAGAAACTAAATTCCTATAACGGACGATTCTCTAAAAGTAAAGTACGCCAGCAGAGCAAAGCGTGCCAAAGCCGATATACCCAGTACTCGCTTCTCAGTTTGTGTAGAGATATGTATTCATTCGTATTCATGAATGCCGTTCGTTCGTTGGTTCGTTCGTACGTTTGGAACCAATAGTGCTCCTTTCAATTGTTGTATTATTAGGCGTAGTTATTGTTGTTATTGATTGACTTACATACATACATACATACTTACTTACTTACATACATACATATACATATAGTACACACAAAACTAAGATAACTAAAAAGCTAAAATAAGCAACCAAAATCGTAAATATGTATAGATATATACATTCATGCACACACACTCGTACATGTTAAGATTACCGACCCATAATAAGAAATCACTGAATCGGCTGGCGGCTGACGACAACATCGACCATAAAAAGTCAGGCTGTTTGGTACTAACATAACATAACAACACATCGGCACGGCACCAAGCAGAACATCAACTGGAAAAAAGTGGGCTGATACTTACTTAAGACGTGTGCGAAAATTGAGTGTTGAACGTTGAGCCACGTCTCGTACGTTCGTTCGTTCGTTGTCTTTCTGTGATTCGTAACCTTACTACATATACATATACAAACAAACTAAAGGGCGGAACAAAAGCTGCTAAGTAAAATAAAAATAAGTTGAGCCCAAAGGAGATTATACTAATCCGTTGGCGATGATGTTGACGTACATAACGCCTAACTGGAGCAACAGTGTAACCGCCCTCGACCAGTTGCCATTCTCTCAGGCGGAAAAACAGCATCAACAACAACAGCAACAGCAACAGCATCAACTCACGCCACAGCGGCAATAGCAACAGGAGTTTTCGGTGCTGCTATCAATTATTCAAGTGGAGGAGCAACCGCAACAAGGTGGCCAGAATCGTTTAGCATTGACGGCTGATACGAGTAGATCGTTGACGTTACGTTACTTTAACGAGACGTGAGGCGGTGACGATTACCTACGACAGAAAAAGTGAACGTTGCAAAGGCAATCGTTGTGTGTGTTTTTGACGTTTATTGCCTGCAACGCCTAAAAGTGTGCAACGACGTGACGTGACGTGACAAGCTAAGCCGTATACTGCCCGCGTAAGGGGTACGAATACGAGTACGAGTGCGAACAAGTTTGCCGTTAGCAGGAACTAAATAAACATTTACTCGAGGCAATCATCTCCACCGCCACCGCACAGACTACAATGCTCTGGTAGCCAAGATAGTTTTGCCGTGGATCACTATTGCGGCAGCAGCAGTGATACAACACACGCAGTGAATAGTGTACTTGGAGTTGGGGCGGCTGGAATTGGTGGTGTTAGTAGTAGTAGTGGAGTCGGCGGTGGTTGTAGTCAATGCTCATTATCGTCGGCAGCGGCGACGGCTGCAGCTGCAGCAGCAGCAGCGTCGGCGGCAGCAGCGGCAGGGACAACATCGTGCGGTGGCGGTGGCAGCGGCAGCGGCAGCGGAGTTGGTATCGGTGGCGCAGGCACAGTTGGAGGCGGTTATTGCAGCGGCACGATGTGTCATCATGGATCCGGCGGTGGCATGCCGATGGGCCTGCCACCACCACCACAACCGCCACAATCGATGATGTCCGGTGGCGGCGGCGTCGGTGGCATCGGTATGGGTATCGGTATCGGCGACGGTCGCAACACCTTAATGCACAGCAACAGCAGCTTACTCGGCTCACATATATCGTTGGGCGGCATGAGCCTAAGCGGTGGCATAGGCATAGGTTGTGATACACATATGGCGGGCCCCAGCCACTGTCGCAGTCTAAGCGGTCTGAGTAGTTTGAGTATCGGACCGCCAGCACCACCAGTGCCGCCTCCACCACTCTTCAATCCTTGTAGTTCAAATAGTTTTAATTCGATGCAATCGGTGCAGGCACCACCTGGGTCCTCACGCTGGGGACCGCGTACATCATGCCCAATTCACAGTCCATTTCGAGTGCGGGCGCCCAACGGTTCGATATGCTCTGGACATCAGGTAATTTCACATTTAATGGTTGTTGTCGTTGTTAAGAAATTCATATACACATAGTATATATGTATATAGTATATTCATGAGCGTGCTACACTTATAAAACATATCTATGTACATATATACACATACTACGCTTTTATATACCCAACAATGCCTAAGTAAATTTATGCGTATTTTTGTCCAAGTGAACTTTATTTTTACTTTTGATATTCGAGTAGTGAGCAACGGTTATGGGGGTGAAACGTGCGAGTTTTTTGTCGAGTGATGATAAAAAGTGTAATTGAGCGTGTCAGTGCGAGTGTGAACCAGTTACACACACGTGAGAATGTACACCTACCTTATGTACATACAAACATACATATGTACATATGTACTTATAATAGTTATATTCTATACACGTGCACGCATGCACCTAGTTACATACAGACGTTTGTAATGTTCCAACATTTCGCAAATGTGTAAATATTTTAAATTGAAACACTTTAGTTGCATTCGGTTGAGTTTGTTTAGTAGTTAAATAAACATACGAGATTCGCCAGCAAACAATGAAACAAAGAAACCAAAATGTATCCAAATAAATGCGCTTGTTTGTATTGTGTTTTTCCTTTGACATTTTCTAAGAGAGAAAATCAGATTCTTGCCATCCACCTTTAACCATTTCATATAAACTAAGTGTTATACGTAAATACTTACATATATACATACATATATCACATAGCAAATACCTATCTACCACGTACCACGTACCAAGTATAAATAATCTAATACAGCCCCCATATCGCACATGTGGGTGCGGGTACAGTGCTGAGTTGCGTAGATATAAGTAAAAACGTATGCTTTTGTGTCTACTTGATTCAGCATATACACCCCGTGTCAAAGTTATAAGCGCACCTAATATTGACAAGTTCTACCAATTGATTGTTCCGTTACTTGTTTTTTTTTTTTTAATAAAATATTGTTGATTCTTTAACAAAACCCGTTTAAATCAAAGTGTGTAATATTACAAAAAAGTCAAAGTATACTTTGTAAACATTTTAAGCTTTTTGTTCTAATTTAGAGAAAGATTTTGAGTATGAATCGTCGAACATATGTACATACTTTGTCAATGTGCGGTGCGTACACGGAGTGTATGTATATTAGACTGGTTCAAAAAATCTACAATTTTTAATCCCTTGTGAAATATTTTAATGAAAAGAGGCGCCTGCTAAAAGCGCAGCATTAGGCTGCGATTCACCCAACTCATTTAAGTGGAAATTAATTTTAATTAAATCTTTTATTTAATTCTCAATTAAATTTTCTTCAGAGTGAGAATATGGCAGCACCGTGCTAAACGTGGTGGTAAAAGCACGGATGGTATACAAGGAAACAGCTGATACACAATATTGTGGTGTGTGTATATTGATCAGAGCTGATTAAACTTGTAACTTCTCTTAATGTGGTTATTCTGATTTAATCTTTATTTAAATTAAAAACAAATGAAAATTGATTGGTGAAACCAAAAATTCGAAAATTAACTTAAATGCATCTGGCGAAGCGCCGCCTTAGTACTAAGATTCAAAAGTCGCTCATAACGAATTTCTATTTTCCGTATATAAACTGTGCGATAATTTTATGGCCTTTCAAACCAGCATCTATCCAGTAATAAAACCTAGAAAAACTTAGCTCGTATTTTTATTTAATGGTCTACTAAAGTTTTAATGTCCCGTCCTAAGTACATAGTTTCCAAAAAAAGTGGAAAAATGGTAAAAATGAATGTCTGAGTGAAATTAAATTTAAGGGCGTATGTAGTAAAATTTGATGGGAAATATTTTCATAGAACATTCCCAGAACCCAGTAGCTCCCGTCTGAAAGGTTCGTTTTGACTCTTACTTCAAGAAACCCCTCAAAAAGCAAATAGAGAAATACTCGTTAGAGATTTGATATATTTTTGGCAGGTTAATTCTCTGAAACATCCTCCCACGAACATCCAAATTTGCTTTTTAAGCTTTCTTGAAGTAGGGTAATTTTAACCCCTTTTATGCGGCAGTTGATGGGTTAAAATGTTCTACGAAATTTTTTTGCATAAAATTTGTCTGTACGTCTTAACCTTAAGTTTCGCTCAGACATTTATTTTAACCATTCTTTCCACTTTTTGAAAGTTATAGCCCAATTCCACCAAAAGCTTAACTGCAGTTAAGAGCTCAGTTAAGTTCCAAGATTTTTAATAAAGCGTGATCTTACTTACTTTTTGCTTTTGACTATCGTTTGCTTGTACATTCTTAATGCTAGCACAATTTTTCGAATAGGCATAAACTGCAGTTAAGGCTCGGTGGAAATGAACTATTAGGCCGAGACATGAAAACTTTAGTAGGCCATAACATAAAAATACGAGCTAACTTTTACAAATCCATTGAGTGTTTTATTACTAGATATAGGTACATACTATCAGAAAATGTTAACAAAGTTCGAGCTGGCCAAAACCACAGTCGCACAGTGTAACACAGGGCACTTTTTGCCAACTCTGAATTTTAATAACTCGTTTTTAAGTGTACCTATCGGAATGAGCGATATATATTTAGAAGCAAATTGAAGACTGATTTTACCATAAATTCACTCCTCCAAAAGATATTCAAGGCCAAAGTGGAACATTTA